AGAGCATGATGGTTGCAGATATAAGGTTAGGAAAAAGCCTTACAACTTAATTCTGTTTTTAACATTTTTTTTAAAACCAGCAGTGTTGGTTGCAGACTTGAGTTGGGGAAGAGAAAAGGGGCATAGAGTTGTGATCTCTGTTCTATTATTTTAATTGAAATGCTTGGTCTCACGTTCTTTGTGTTTCACCCTAGTCTTAAATTATTTATCCCTTTGTTTTTAATCATCTAATTTCCCATTTGTTTTGTTTAATACTCTGCTTAATAATGTCTTGCAAACTTTTGACAATAGTTGTTTGAGTAAATTTAATTTTGGTACTTTTTAAAAAATGATGTTCTACTACCCATCAACTGTGCAGTCTTTCTCAACAGGAAATGAACTGGGCTTCCCAGTTGATTCCGATATGTTTCCAAGTGACTGGGAAATATTAAAAAAAGATTGTGTTGATATCTTTCAAACATTGATAGAATATCAGCATGCTAAACTAACTTACTATACATATTCCTTCCTCTAATAGCTGCACTTTTCCTAAGTGGTGAATTTTGGTGATTGTCTCTTATTAATTTCTTCCTAGAAAACATCACAGTGAAACCTAATTGATCTAGCATTTGCTCAGGGATGCTCATAAGCAGGACATAATCACAATAGCAGCTTCTGTCTTACAATCCTCCAGCAATGGCATTTCACTGCATAGTATTTCCTACTGAAGATAATATATATCATATTTTTTGGAGTATAAAATGCTCTGAAGTATAAGATGCACCTAGCTTTTGGGGAGGAAAACAAGAAAAAAATCTACCTCTGCCTCCCAGCAATTTGCCTCCTTACAGCAAACAGCAANTTATTTTTTCTGATAGTCATAGAATATATCCCTAACAATATAATCCAAATAACTTTAAAAAATTTCCTAATATGTGAGTGATACTACTTTTCTATTGCATTCATTAATAATCACATTTTATATTCTCTTTATTTGTACTTATAAATCTGAGTTAACTCTTCTTTATCTTAAATAATGACTTTCCATTATAAGGGGAATGACCTTACTAGAGAAAGATTTGTGTTTGCATTGTATTCATATTCTGGTAAAACCCAAGAGACATCTGCTATGTCTCACTTTCATCTGGTAGCAATATTCATAGTGTGGATAACAACCTAACAGGACCTTGTGTCTTATATCTGTACAGTTAAGATGTTTAATGGAAATGAAGTTTAAGTAGAGAAAGTAGGAAACTTCCTGTTTCAGAAGAAAAAAGCAGAGAGCAGGATTGCTTTGTATAAATTTCATTAAATGTGAATTCATTCATAACTTTAAAAAAATGCCGGTAGAAAACTATTGATTGGCCATGTTTCATGAAAAATGTTTCAAGTCACAATTTTAGGAAAAGTTGCTATTTCTCAGAGGAGAAAAATAAAAATTGGGAAATGATAGAGGTTTAGAAATAAGAAATAATGTTAGTTTCTTTCATAAAACGCTGAATGAGGGAAGGTAATACTCTCTATCTCTATCTCTATCTATCTCTATTTCTAGGTCTAGCTCTCCAACCATCCATCTATCCATCCATTCACACACACACACATAGTAAAAAATGACCAGAATCTGATTAAAGGATTAAGTCCGGGATGTTGGCTTTGGTTCTTCTCAGAGCCACGAGTTTCTATGATGTGCCAGGGTCTGATAGGGTTGAGCAGAAGTGTCTGTATATTTTTAAGTAATAGAGCTGTTTGTTCATGATAAAATTTCACAACAATACACTATTATATATTCCATCGAAGGAAAGAACACTAAATATTAAAACACATAAAATATTTCCTTATTATAAATAAAGATAAATCACTAAATTGATGGCAACGTTTTATCATTCTATAAGAGGACACCTTTTAAACACTTGCCATTAAATAAAAAAGACAATGAGCAAATATTTCTTGTATATATGATAATGTAATGTATAGATTTTGTCATTTTTCATCTACGAAACTCTCTGAGAATAGAGCATTAAGAGTAGTGGGATCCATAAATACCTTGAAAAAGTGGAACTGAAATGTAGATAAAAAGTTCTTTTCAACCTCTAGTGAAGCTGAGGAGGCATTCCTGCCATGTTTAAAACTGAATTTAGGACGTTATTTTGACTTTATATTTACTTTAAAAATTTGAACAAAGATGGTGATATAAAAAATTGGATGGAAATGGGGATATTGATTTTGGGCCAACTGATACATTGGGTTAAAAATTCATCATCTATCAGGTGGTCCAAAGTATATATCAGATATTGAAATATTTACAGGTACAATATTTGCTAACAACATTATTTGGACTAGCAGCATTTTCAGTTTCTGAGACATCTGAAATAATAGAACAAATTGTTAATTCCTTTAAACTTAAAAAAAATATTATTAGTTTTTGTAGATATTTGTTTTATCAATAACTCAATTTGATATGCAGGTGCTAAGAAAACAGTGGGATAAAGAATTAGAGTTCCTATATTGTTTAGCCAACAGGAGAATGTCTTAACTTCTATAGCAAGAGGTTTAATGGACCTCAAATTACAACTCACATAACAAAATATTAGAAGGTATTGATTTCCATTACATTTGGATAGAAAAGGATTGTGAATACCAGCATTTTGTTGGAGATGTAATACGGATAATATTTTTTTAATACACATATACTTACTAAGTTTTGGGAGTAAGTAGTGCATTATATAAACATGATTGTATGACAAAAGCTAACATTTTAGAGTATAATATTCTCTTGAACTACATACCTAGTACATGGAATTTGATAGCTGGTCAACTAAATGGATTCCCATGTTCATAGTTTAACTAAAACATAGATATTGCACCATTGGACAAATAAATGTACAGTCCAGTGGTGGGATTCAAATAATTTAATAACCAGTCCTCTGCCCTAATGACCAGCTGGGTAGGCGTGGCTCAGTGGTCATGTGACCATGTGGCCAACTTAACATCACTCAGGTCAATGGGCGCTTTGCCTTNCCCAGAATTCCCCAGCCAGCGAATGCTGGCTGGGGAATTCTGGGAGTTGAAGTCCAGACATCTTCAAGTTGCCAAGGTTGAAAAACACTGGCTTAGGATAACACGGCATTGTTCTTATTAAAATTACTTCAGCAACTGCAAAGAGCAGGTATTTGCTTTTAGGGCAAATGCTTAGTTAGTATGACAAGATTTTAAATAAAATCCACTTGTCTCTAAAAATCTTCTAGTTTCCCAGTGTTATCAGGAAAAATATGTCCATCCTGTATATGTCAGTGGTAATCACCTAAAATGTGTTAAAAGCAGACTATAATTAAATCACATAGTATTTTCTCTTTGCAACAACTATTGACAAAAGATTAGCCCTATCCTTCTTTGTATTTCTTATGTTCAATTCTGTAACTGGAAAGACCATTGTGTTATATTTTCTGCACATTGTATTAGCCAGTGCATAAAACAAATGAAGGAAGTCATATTGGTCAGCTTTATTCTGCATCAGATTTTTTCAACATAATTTCCAAATATGTGGAACTCCAACTAGCATAAATCTCAGCCAACTATTCAAGCCAATAATAACACTATGGATGATATAAGTTATGTATGTCATTTACAGAATTGGAGAAAGTTAATCTGCATGAAGAAGAGGTACATTTTTAAAATTCCCTTTAATAGTTAAACTTTCAATTCTCTATCCTCTTTCATTAGATGGTCTCTAAGTGATTTAAAATATAAACAATAAAATATAATTAAAGCAATAGCAAAAAGTAGATATAAATAAACAATTAGAACCAACATTTAGAAGTCTAAATAAAGCGATCATAAATGTAATTACATCAATTGTCAATTTAACTAAAATCTGATTAACTTGATTAATTAAATATATTGTTTAATATCAGAATAATTAGCTGGCATTTTAAAGATTTAAAATAAGATCCTAAAAGATCTTGTGGGAGGAAAGAGGCAGGGAGTATGCTCATAGTACTATCTAAACATAAGATTCTTTTATCTAGGATCTCCCTGCTAACTCTATAATAGAGAAAAGGGCCATGGGGAATTCTTAACTAAGAGACAAGAATATGTGGAAAGAGATCTAGATTATACACCGATATAAAAAGCCAAAATACTCTTGCTAATTTATGACTGCTTGGATTTTTAACAGTAACGAAAGTTTGTTTTACCCAATACAATGCAACCCTTTGCTCTCCAGATGTTTAGGACCTAAACTTTTAGTTGGTCCAGAAAACATAGTCGAATATAGGGAATTATAAAACACTGTGAGGCAGGCACCAGTAAGACTGAAGTTCATGATTGCAAACTATATCTTATTGTGAATTCATAGACATAGAATTCATAGTTATCAATTACTGAAGATATAGAACGTTGGTCCTTACCTGAACATTTCTTTTATGTAGATAAGGTGGGAGGGGCTACAGCTGGGTTTAGTCACAGTCTGATTGGTCCAGAGACTGAGGGAATTTTCTTAAAGTATCCTTCCTTCCCTATTGGCTCCCAGTTTCCTCGAGGTCAAATGAAAAAGCTGCAAAAAATATAATGCAGGCAACAACAAACAAACACCCCGACCGCCCCTCACCCAACTACAATGACTAGGGCCCAACTACAATGACTAGGGCAGGATGTAGCCCCTCCTGCCTTAACTACATAAAAGAAATGTTCAGGTAAGTTCAGCAGTCCGAATTTTAAAAGAATTTAGAATATCCAATTAACCGAATCAGAATAAGATAATTCCAATAAATAGAATAAATTCAATACCTCAAGGAGCCAAACTAGTGCTTGGACCAAGAGACTGAGAGGAAACTGGAAGCCAAAAGGGAATTTAAGAAAATTCCCTGTCTCTGGACCAATCAGGCTGTGACTAAACCCAGCTGTAGCCCCTCCCACCGTATCTACAGGAAAAGAAACATTTATAACATTTCTAGTCCCTCTACTTCTTCATCTCTCAAAAGCTTCCCTGAGAATCAAAACTTTAGCTTTCCACTTCTGCTTACGTGTTAATAACCACTGCAAAGAACCATTACATTCTCTACATTCTTGCTGTGTCAATAATCGCTTGTAATTGAAGTGATTGAATCTGATAGTAATTTTCTTAGCCTGCTGCAATGTCTTCTTTCCTCTTTCAGCACATTCAAAAAAGTTGAATTTAATATTGTGTGCATTCTATTAGATTAAGGTTTTCAAATCCAGACAAAATGTCAGATCATATAAGTAAAAAAAAACAAAAAACCATTAGTTCTGCATATCAAAAACAAAAAGATAATGCATTATTATTCATGTGACCGGTTCTAAGTTGTGCCCTGGCATGCACTCACATGGGCAAATGTAGGGATAGCATGCATTCTGGGCTGGATTCTGAATTAGCCATAATTAGCATAGGACTATAAAAGTTTAATTCAAATAGGATTAAATCTGTATCTGCACCAATATTCTTGATTGCTGCTGTTAACAAAAAACAAGTTAGATTGGGCTAGATTAATAGACAGTTAAACGCAGAGGGTGACATTGTTCCTACGTAGCCTATATTATCTACAACAGTTCACAGGAGATCTGACACACTCTGTATCCTCTGCACAGCTCAAATCTGTTGGTGACGTCAGTAAGGCCAGTTGCAGGAAATGCAGAATATAGTTCAAGTTACCACTTGTCACACTAGAAGAACTCATTATTTCTACAAAAGGCTAGGGAAAAAAGTCAGATCGTTGCTGTTGGCTAATTTTTGTTTGCACAGGATAAATTTTATAGATACCGTACTTTATAGTTCTTGTAATGTATTTTGTATATTTTCAATTTCACATAAGTTAAACCTTATATAACTAAAATACTACTACTTTGCTTATTCCCACAAATTTACAGGTCCTATTTCTTACACTAGAACTTATCAAATGTTTAACCGACTAACTTATTATGCAACAAAGTTTCCCCTGATATTAGAGGAAAATCCATCATGTCATGTCATTAACCTTTTAGTAAGGTTCACAGAAAGTAATAGTACTAAGTAATATATACTGGAAGCCATAAGCCAACTACTTCCTGCGTGATAAGAAAGCACAATCACACCACTCACTTGGAGCTTCCTCAGATCAACAAGGATCCTGATTATTGGGCTGCTTTTCAGACTATGCATCACTTTTACACACAGTTATAGTCTCAGAGACAAAGAAAAATGAAGAATGACCAGATGTTCAAAACGAGCCCATGGTTTTGCCTCCCTGCATACAACCCTAATGTTCTGTTGAAAGAAATGTCCTTCTGGACATCTGGATTGTGGGAAGTTATCATCCAGCCCTCTCCCAGAAAAATGAAATATCCTAGGAAATATTGAAAAGGCAGAATATTTCTCTGGATGTGAAAAGNGCCACAGAGAAGGCCCTCCTCCGGGTGGTCGCAAATCGACATTGGCCGGTAGATGGAATCCAGAGGAGACCTAATCTGTGGGATCTAATGGGTCTTTGGGAGGTAATTGGCAGCAGGCGGTCTCTCAAGTACCCAGGTCCAATACCATGAAGGGCTATAGAACAATAAACAAATGAATTCCAATTTAACAACAGTTGGTGGAATCCAATGAAACTCCTTTTGTTGGTAGAGGTTTTTTTCAATAAGAAAAAGAGAGATAACACCTTGAACCTGTGTTATATTGCACTATTCTGTGTAACTTAGGATATATATCATCTTGACTGACCATGTCAATGAAATTTCAGATAGAACTGTCACTCCATCTAAATCTATTGTTGCAATTTTCAGCAATTAAAATTCATTACAAGAAAGCAGCCTTGCCAGTAGAATGTTGAAAGAAGCACAATCTACTAATGGAGTTTCAGATATGTCTTTTATCTGTTTCTTGAGAAATCATCCATCATTGTTGCACAGAAAGTAACAGTTGAAATAATATTAAACGTAAAACATATAAGAAGTTGTGATGAGAAATGAAATCAACCCTCCTTCTCTTAATACTTCCATCATGGCTATTTATCAGCCTCTGGACAAAGTGGGTTATTAAAGAATGTGACAATATCCCATCAACATATACATACAGTATATACCAGTGTTGGTGAACCTTTTTGGCACAGAGTGACAAAACAGGAGCATGCACAGGAGGGGGGGGCGGGAAACACCAGAAACCAAAAGAGCAGCTCCCTGGCATGCGCATGTGCGGCGGTTACCTGGTATACAGGTTTCTGGCATGCCATGTCCACATGAAAACCAACTGGCCAGTGTGCATGCTCAGTTTCCCGGCGCATGCATGCGTGCCAGGTAGCTTCTCTTCTAGTTTCTGGTGCTCCCACATGCACAAAGACCAGCTGGCCAGCACACATGTGTGCGCCGGAACCCGGAAGAATGATGGCTGGTGTGTCCCGGAGAAATGGCTCTGTGTGCCACTTCTTGCACACATGTCAAAGATTTGCCATCACTGGTATATACACTTATACGCACTTGGTTCTGGTTTTATGAAATAGTTTTTCGAAATGAGGATCAGAAATAGAAACAAGCAGTTTGCACAGAAGTGAGAAATAACCACAGAAAACAATCTGGAATGCCAGCTGAAGTCCATAAAAGTCACTATCACAAGATGAAAGTCCCTGGGCAGCTTCTTCTTTTCTTTCTATTACTGACTTGGCACATAAATGGTTCAGTAATACTAAGTTTAAGAATAAGTTTGTGAGTTTAAAATAAACCAGGCTATCCAAAATAAAAACCTGTTAACTGTTCTTTGGTGCTCCTTTAGGTCAAATAGATCTAAAACTTTGAAGTTCCACATGTATCACCTTACTAAGAAAACAACTGGATAAACCATGTAGAGAGGGAGTAAAAGTGCCACGGAGAAGAGAGATTTGGTGTGAGGTGGAGTAGGTAGATAAGTGATTTAGGTGCTTTTCATCACTTAAAGCTGGTGATGTATAATTTATAATCAAGTAAAATTGCCTGCCTATCTTATCTAATGCTACAATGAATGAGGCTACTGCAATGCATTGTTCCTATCAGGAGGCTGAGTTCGATCCTAGGTATCAGCAGATATGTCTTTCTCTGGGCGAGAAAATATCTGCTGTGAGATCTACATAGGTATCAGAAAAGGTATCCGGCCAGTAAACACTCAGTTCCATTCAGTCGCCCATGCCCCCCCCCCGCCCCCGATGCAAGGGATTACAGGGTTGTTAAAACCAAAAGAATTAGGTAAAAAGCAGCAGCTAAATGTTAAGAGCTAGGCACAAAAAAAACATGCATCTATAGTACTTCACCAGATATATTAATTCCTTCTTCATTTCTTTAAAATATATAATTCAAAGTATATTTTTTCTCTTTTTCACATTTATAATCTAGGACTAGGATACCAGCAGATACGTTGTGTCTTCTGCTCATAGTGTTACTTTTGTGAGGCAACAAAGAAAGCCAACTGTAACTATTTAGATGTTTACTGTTTTTTTTTTCTGGCATGGAATTAGATAAAAAGAACCTAAAGCTGAAACCATTAAGGTGAAACAATATTTTTTTTTATCCCCATTCTGAAATTAGTTTAGTAATTTCTGTGGAATTGATAGAGAACAAATCCACTATAAAATGGCCAGGATATAGTCACACTGGCAGATTTTCATGAAATTTATTTTAGTCTTCCTTAAAACCACTCTCAAGTAGTAGTGTACAATTTGGGAATAATGAGTGCAAAAAAACAGCCCTATGGGCAAACAGTTCAGGAATGGACTTCCAGTTTGCTCCTAGGGTCAGTTTAAGTCCTCCGGAGGCTTCAGGGACCTTCAGGAGGCTTCCCTGAAGCCTTGTGACTTCCGGTTTGCTCATAGGGTTATTTTCTGCCCTTCAGAAGAACTGGAGATGAATTAGTAACAGATGACATTAGTAACAGAGATGACATTAGTTATGTTTTGATCTACAGATTAGTTTATGGTGCTTTGCTAGCCATCGAGACAATCTTTTTCTTTAAAAAACGGTACATTTAATGTCTACCTTCCCCAACATAATGCCTTTCAGATGTGTTGAACCACAAATAACATCATTGGACAAAGCCGCTATGGATGGACCACTCAATTACCCTAGTGCCCCAAATTCTTGTTTTTCAAAGTACTCCTTTGAAAATAAGAAAATACCATTACAAAGTAGCCAAAACAAACAAACCACCTGAAACTAATCAAGGTTGGAAAAATAAGCTTTTTCTTACTTGTTATCATTNCATATACATATACATATACATATACATATACATATACATATACATATACATATACATATACATATACATATACATATACATATGCATATGCATATACACATATATGCAGTGTTTACACATCAAAGTCACTCTGTCATTCAGAGTGATACATGAACCCAGACATGCTGGTTTGTAAACCATGACTTATTATAGTATATCTCCTATTGCTATAGTTTCTTGATTCTTAACAAACCATTGTTAAAAGAAACCTGCTTTGTATGATGTATAAATGCTCTCTATAGCTAGAGATAATAATTAAATTTTATTCCCATTTATTCCTATTGCATGAGATGGGTGGCCATATAAATTTCTGAAATAAATAAAATATTCAGTTTTCATTGCCCTTATTCAACTCAAAGCTATTAATAGCTTCTTTTTGTAAAAGACACTATTTGGGCTATATAAGGAGCCACATATATACATGAATAAAGATAATTAATCACACAACTGCTCTTAAAATATTGTGCTATTTTTCTTATAAATTGACCATGATCTTACAGCATCTGAATTTTGTTTTTTATTCTTCCCCCAATTTGCTTGCCTAGATGGTATTCTTGTTGATGCCATAGAAACTGAGGGAAATCCTCTAACCCATCACTTTGCATGGAGGACTTCACATAAAGGGTATAAAGTAATACGTTCAAAATACAGGAAGAGCACTATTTTAAGAGTTTCAGTTTCCGTTCACAGTTCAAAGATTTTCAGATAGATTTGTTTTATTTCAGATAAACCAGTATTGAACAATATGATACATTTCTCCCAACAATGCCTGTTCTCTTAGCATCCCATGAATGATTACACCACCTTTTATGCACATTCCATAGATACAGTTAATCATCTGTCAATAATAAAGATTCTCCCACCATCATTGTTTTTGACAATGATTCAAGTTTAGAAAGAACAAAGCAAACTACAGAAAACAATAATAACTATGGTCAGATAAACTAATATTTTGATTTCCTGTGATAAATTAGGGGAAAATGGAAAAAAACAGAATTTTAATATAACCATGATAATGTATACTTCCCAATAATGTGTTTTTCCCAAAGCAAAAATTGGTGAAAATGATAGGAATTCTTGAGGGTTTCTTTTTTGCTTCAGGTTTAATTTTATGCCAAATTGTTAATATTTCTGTGTTTGCTATTATCCTGCCTCTTACTGTGTTTCTTCCTTTAATCTTAGGAAAATACAGTTGCAGGGAAGTTATTAAGCTGACTGGAGCAATCATATGCATAGCAGAGAATGGAAGATAAGAATAGACTAATTGATGTACAGAAAATTAGGGCTGCTATACAAAATTAGGGCTGCTATTTTTGAAATATGCAGTTGGATATATTCATACTGATTAGGGATATTTATAAAGAGTTACATAATTTTTGCTGAAAAAATGGAAGCAGGCGGGCACAGAGAATAACATTGTGGTTATTAAGAAATATGTCACAATTAATGTTTTCTTCATATTCTTCTTGCTTTTCAACAATTTAATACTGAATTTGTCCACGTATAAGCATTTAGATTTTGACTGCTGCAACCAAATATCTGAACTACCAGGCATATTCTTACATCAAATGTAGCATAAAGATTTACAGTAAAAAACAACAACACCTGGTCACTGATTAATACAATTTGACCTATATTCATGATTTTGTTAGATCTGGACTGATTTTTTTTCTGTTTGCTATCAATTTATCATACAAATAAAGTTTAATTTTCCTGACAATTTCATGTTATACCATTTGCCTTTTGATTATTATGCTTATGTCAGACACATAGGTAATTGGTATTCCTGGGTCCACAGCTTATATCTGGGTATGTCTGTTTCATAAACCTTACTATGAGTTTTGAATCCCCCAACTCAGGACAAGCACTCCTACATAGAGACTCCTACATACAATACATTCAGATAGAAACAAATGAATCTTTGCTTCTATAAATAATTTGTTTTGGACATATTTAGTTTTAGAATTAGGAGCAAAGAAGATACTTAAGTGCTCTTTTTATTTGTGTAAAATAATTCTGCAAAATTTATATAAGAGTGCAACTTATTACAAATAAGTAACAGTAAGAAAGCTTGAGAATAGACACAGATACAAGTGTCATGGCCAATTATGCTTTTAAATAATATTGTAAATAGTTTGTTTTTGTTTCATAAAATTTCTATATAACAGCAGCCAATCAGTGCCACATATCATGGTACAATAATCAGTAGAGTTGATTATTGAAGTCAATCCAAGTCAAATTCTAGAACCAGAACAAACAAAGAAATACATATCAAGTAACATTCAGATAAAATTAGGGTTACCAGATATCTGAACAGGCAAAGGAGGACATAAAGAATAGGAAAGAAGGATAAATGTGGAGGCTGAGAGGCTGATATTGTAACTGTTTATAGGAAGGAAGGAAGGAAGGAAGGAAGGAAGGAAGGAAGGAAGGAAGGAAGGAAGGAAGGGGGTCTATATGTGTATTAAATTAATTTTCCAGTATCAGAAAGACTAGTTTTTCAGTGACAGGACTGGCTAGCTTTCAACATGTAACTGATTAAGGTCTTGTCAGTTTCAAGAAGCATATAAACTTAATTAAGGTGGCAGAGCAATAGCAATAGAACTTAGAGTTTACTTAGTGCTTCACAGCCCTCTCTAAGCGGTTTACAGAGTTAACATATTGTTCCCAACAACCTGGGTCTTCATTTTACCAACCCTGGAAAGGATTGAAGTCTGTGTTAAACTTGAGCCAGTGAGAATCAAACTGCTGGCAGTTGGCAGAATTAGTCTGCAATACTACATTCTAACCACTGTGCTGCCACAGTAATGCTTATTAACTTGCAACTGCTGGTCTGAGAAAAAGGCTGCTCAGGAACTCAGAAACATTGGCAATATTTTAAGGCTGTGCTTACTGGACAAGGGACATGAGGAGAAAAAGGAAGACATCTCCTACTTTTGCTGGATGCCTGGTAACCCTAGATACTATGCACCTTGCAGGCCTAATGCAATTCCCAGCAGTAAAGAAAGGTATTTATATCAGATTCAGTTCAGGGATAAGTAAAATTTTATTATACCTATAGAACAGTGGTGGGTTTCAAATTTTTTTAGAACCTCTTCTGTAGGTATGGCCTGCTTTGTGGGAGTGGCTTGCCGGCCATGTGACCGGGTGGGAGTTGAAGTCCACAAGTCTTAAAGCTATCAAGTTTGAACACCCCTGAGGTCTTGTAACTTGACAGCTTTAAGACTTGCATGCTTCAAATGCCAGTTTCTGAGCCAACATTTTGGTTGCTAAGCAAGAGCGTTGTTAAGTGANTGTAAAGTGGGGGGAAAAACAAAAGGAGATTTCTTCCAGCAACCAGTTCTCCGGACTGCTTAGAAAGTTAACAACCGGTTCTCCCAAATAAGTGCGAACTGGCTGAATCCCACCACTGGTACAGTCCCTTTCACTCAATGGATTAAAAACCTGACTGACACCTATGAGTGGATTGCCTGTATAAGCTTTGCATGAACAAAGACTAATTTTGTGATACTAAGCTACAATGTATATATTGGCATGAGTGGAAAATTTAGTTTTGATAAAACATAATGTTTAAACATTTTGTTGTCATTTAGTGTAATATTTGAACCAACCATCATAACAGAATTATGACCAACTCCAGTGGAAATGTGAGTTGATCTCACTCATAATTTGGAGGTTTTATTTAGAATTAATCAGTTGTTCATTGAGAAAAGTATTTTTAAAGGCTACCCTACTGAGGATCAACATCTTTCAGTCATAAATCATTGAATTTTTTCTGTAGAGTGCAGTGGGGAAAAAAACATTACTGGCAAAAATGCAAATTTTATGCATAGTTTTCTCATTAAATTGTGTGTGAGGGTCTCTGTGTATGAACAGTTTTGAATTATAACTGGTTTTTGATTATTCCTTGTTCTTCACATCACGCATAACAAAAATTGCACAACTACAAGAAGGAGGTACTTTTGCCACTTAGATTTTGCTGAACTTCTGCACCTGGGAAATCTTGAAGAATATAGTTTGCCTATCCTTCTACTGCTGAGTTACAACATTTATATCAACTGACTTTCTATATAACTGGAAATAAATGGTCTGGAAATAAAAGAATGTTTTTCTTCAGATGTTTTCCTATATTCCCAGGTATATAGTCCACCAGCATAACAACCCCCCCCCCAAAGCAATATCTCATTGATCTAAGGTAAATAAAGCCAACATCCCTTTATCAGGTTTTTGCCTACACAGTACGTATCATTACATCAATCACACCTCAGTTCCTAAGAAAATTCAATTCCTGGGTACTAAATCTAGTGCTTATTCTGACCACAGTTTGCTAAAATCAAAATAACAAGATGAAATCATATGGATAACTCCATAAATGTTCTAAAATTACCCTTTTACTACTGCTTACCTTTAAATATGTTTATTAAGACATTTATTTTACCATATATATGGTAAATGTGTTAGCATTTTTTCAGATAATTTATTCTATAACAACATTTATTTGACCAAGTACTTTTAATGCTCCTTCCACACTCTTAACTGTCATCACCCATCATATAAAGACAAGATCCTGCTTCCAATTCTCTGTGAATTAAATCAGTAAAAGAGCAGGTGAACTGTGGCAAAAAAAACAACAGCCATACTTACAGCAAACAGAGGGCGTAAGCTGAAGAGATAGATTCACTGGCCCTGACGAGAAAACTTCCATCCTTGCCTACTTTAGAAAGTAAGTCCTCAGCTTTTGAACGAGTGATGCTTCCATGGTACCAGCACTGATCCATGCCTTCGATTTAAAAAAGAGAAAACCCAACATAAAAAATAAAATTTAAAATGAAGAAACATTAACTACTCAGCAGTTAAGAAAAGATCCCAAAGCTGTCTGTTCACAGAGCTCAGCAGCTGCTTGCAACTCACTCAGCTTCCTGTTTAATGGTGCTGAGAGAGAAAGGAAACAGAGCAGAGAACTTCCTCATACAAATTAAGCCAAATGAAATGGGCCAACCACACACACCTCCCCATTCACTCTCTCAATGCAACTCTACGGTACTGCCTTCGCCAAGTAGTTGGGATTCCATCTTAGTTCTTCCTGTTAACTTTGCAGAAATTTGAAAGGATTCATTTATTCTTACTCACATTGCCCCTAAATGAAATTGTCATTAATAAAACATGACAGTCTAATTTCTTCATATGTTCTGCTTCTATTTTCCTTGCTTGTCATCTATTATATTTGATTTGCAATGTGAATTTTCATAGAGCAAGAGGAGAGAAAAGTGAGTAAGTCTCCAGGGATATCAGTAGCAGCTAATTGTAGCTAGTGGTTCTTGATTGTGCTAGAAGAGTTTAACCTGTTGGTAAAGGATATACCATCTTTGAATATCTTAGGGCATTCTGGCTTCTTTGCTAATGTTAGATTATCCTAAATAATGGATCAATACTTGGATGATCTGAAGGAAAAAACTGACTCTGCACTTCTGGGAAATGCCAGCAAGAGGAAATAAACGTCCCAGTATTTATGACAGAATGAATATAGTCTATGATATAAGTCAATTAGACTGAAGCATTTTCTCTGGTGTTGCGAATCCATGAATCTCTTCCTTCAATAATTATGCTGGTTCCTACTCCCTTTGCCTTTATCACTGCAGCAAACATACATGTCCTTTGCTAAGAACTTTGATTAGTAACTGATTTTTGTACAGATTTTTTCTTATGCTGCTGAACTTGGTTTGTTTTGTATTTCTCATTTTAAGCATTGTTAGCCGTCTTAAGAGCTCAAATGGAGTAGAAAGAATAGCTGAAGAAGCTTCTTGGATGAGAAGCAAAATGTTTTCAAAGAAAAGCCTGAAAGTCCAACTGCTTCTTGAAAAAGCAGCTTTGGGACAGCTATGACCTGGATGACTGAAAATCTCCATAGACATAGGATAAAATAAGATTAAAAAGGCACATGATTTTTTTTACTGGGTTCCTGGTAGTATTCATATCTCCAAATATGTGGTCTAAAATTTCCTGTAAAACCCTTTCGCTCTAATCTAGAGGAAGCTTTGTTGTTGTCCTCAGCAATTCACATGGCAGGTTGGACTCTATATTTGTCATTGCCTCTGATTTTGCTGACATGTGAAGAATAGCAGGTTGACCAAAGATCTTGCTCCAGTGTTTCTCCTCCAGTTGGTCGTTCATTGCAGCATCCCTTTGTTTTACAAACTACCTCAAAGGGATTTAGCAGTAGGCCGGTTTATTTAGGTGCCAAGATAACTACTATAGATTATTTTTGGAACATTGTGTGATGATGGAAGCTAGAAAGATATTTCCCTCCTGTTGCCATTGAGCTGGAAATGTGCCCTCCAGCAAAATTATTATTTTTTCCAACCCAGTGGAATTTTGGAAAGAAACTATAAAGGGCTGTTGGGACTCTGACTGTCTGCACAATGATTTTCTGAAACTGAACAGAATAGAACCAAATTTGGTATGGAGAGAGAAACTGGCAAACAAAAGGTTGAGTTAATACTGGGCTGGTCCAAGCCAGGGCCCTACCCAAGGCAAAGGGAGCTAGGGGGCTGAACCATTCCTCCAATGCCTCTCCTGGGACAGGCTCCAAATGTTGTGACTGCTCCATTGTAGGCCACTTCTCATTCTTCCTTCCTGGTCATGTGACTGAAAGCAGAGCAGCCTCATGCTTTCCAATGAATACACGCAAGCACAAACAGATGGAATATAACAAAAAGAAGGAACAAACACAGAGATATATAACATAGAAGAAAATACAAATAACTCATATGGCCATTCTTGGTAAAGAATTGGAAAGATTCTCAGAAGCCACAATTGAGTGGTGTTCCCATCTACTTCCAAATTATGCAAAAATTGTGTATTTAATGGGTCCCTTTTATCAATACAATTTGGTTAATATGGCTCAAAGTAAAGATGGAAAGGGCAACCAACCACTTACTGTATGTCTCCTGGCTTGAGAAAAGAATGCATTTCTCACAATGAGTTAAATACTATAAAGAATCCAAATGAAGACTTCTTAATTTTTTGAGTGATCAGGTGCATCATAGATTTTGGATGAGGTTCAAGCACAGATTGAGTTGGTAACATGAACTTTGGTTGATGTTTATCTAAAGGCTGAGATCAAAGGCTGAACCTGGCTACAGCACGGAAACCGCTTTGGTCGCGCTGACCGATGATNTTGTGGACTTCAACTCCCAGCAGAGCTGGCTGGAGAATTCTGGGAGTTGAAGTCCACAAGTCTTAAAGTTGCCAAGTTTGGGAACCACTGTTCTAACAGAAACCTTTTTTTGCAAGCACTCTCTCCGTTCTCTTCTGTGCCAGCCAATTCACACTATAAACCTCTCAATTGTTCACCATCTTACCCACACATTCTTTTAACCTGTGTTTTAGTCAACACTTCTCAGATTTCTCCTTCTTAGATTTGGTCATCATCTAGGCCAGTGTTTCTCGACCTTAGCGACTAAGTCCTATGGACTTAAAGTTGCCTAGGTTGAGAAACACTGATCTAGGCCAACCTACCTGCTAAATGTTTCTCTTTGTATTTTCGTTTCCATGTGCAGTTGTCTGTGTATGTATATACAGTACGTCCTGACAATCTCATTTCCCTGCATTGTTAAACCAGGGAGCGGATTCTCTGTCCTTCCCATTACTTTTTCCCTATCCAAAGGAACTTTTGTAATCCTATTCCACTTAATTTTCTCTTTCTTCCACTTTTCCTCCTTGAGTCCTAGATATCCAGGCACAGTTTATCCTGTGTTTATCGCCCCTTCTCTATGTCTTCCAAACGCCAGGACTATTCAAGTAGGACCGAAATGGATCTAGGCATAAAAGGTCCTGTCCAAATCAACAAGCAGCAGAGAAACTCCATAGCCAAAAAGACCATTTTAGTTAAGGTCCCCAAGGACATGCTGGATAATACAGTTCTGTAAAGAAAGAGAGTTGGAAATTTTTAATCTATAGTCCCCACCCCAGAAGCACAATAGTAGAGACAGGCTTAAGAGAGGATCCAGTCTTTGGCTTTCTATCTGCCACTAAAATGTATGTGTAAGGTTTCTTGCTGAGAAATGTTCTTCTCATCTTTCTTCCCCTATTATTCTGATGCATGAGGAGATCAGCCTAGATTCAACACAATAATGAGTCTCTTCCACTTGGATTAAAGTTTCCCTCCTACACAGAACATTTTGGCTTTTCTGCACGGTGGCAGAAATGCCCCAGGATTTAACATTTCAGAACCTTGAGAGAACGGCAGTTGGAATGTGGGGATGTAGGGAAGGAAGGCAGCCAATTAGCCAAAGACAAATTATTCCAGGTTTCATATGATACGAGGGGACGGAGACCAGTGACAAACCCAAAGTACTGAAATGAGTACACTGGGATAAGACAGAAGTTTTAAAACTGTTTTAAAAGCATTGATGAACTTTGCTACATTTCCCTATATCAGCATGGCTGCAAAGAAAATTGAGCAATAACTACAGGACATTGAGACCGTTTTGTCATTCAAAAGGCTCTACTTTGCCAGGCTGGGACGTGCAGTCAGGGTAGGCAGGGGAGGCAGAGCCTCACCACTGTCATCATGAAAAGAAAAGAAAAATGTAAAAGGAAAAA